ACTCTCTGATTATTTTCTCTAATGTTATATTACACAGAATACATGAGTAGGCATATCCCTATAGTACTCTGCCTGTAGAAACAGCATTGTCATCTTCCAACTATTTGTTCATTTTTTTATTTAATATAATAACAAATAACTAACATGTTACAGTCTCTTAAAAATTTCACAACATTTTCACTGATGAAACTTTATTAGTTAGTCTTTTAGCACTATATTTGGGACACTCCGTTAATACGTGTTTCACTGTTAATGGCACGTCACAACTCGTACATTTTGGTTGAGGTTTCTTCTTCATGAGATATTCATGTGTGAGTTTGCTGTGTCCTAATCGGAGTCTGGTTAATATAACCCGAAGGAAACGGCTAGGGACGTTGTTATTCCATCGTCCAAAATTTGGTTTAATTTCTTTTAACTTAGAGGATTTTTCTTCCCAACATTTAGTCCAATTACATATCAGCTTTTGTTTAAAGTACGGATTGAGATCTTCTGCTAATGGTTTTATTATCGGTCTAATATTCGGGGAATTTGCTATTTCTCGAGCATTTTTATTAGCTGGTTCGTTTCCTTTAATGCCTATATGTGATGGTACCCACACGGAGACTAATGTTTTGTTTTCCAGCTGCTGCATCTTGTTTTTAATTAATTTAGCAATCGGGTTGCAGGTGTACATTTTTCTCAATATATGGAGGGAATTCATTGAGTCAGTAATAATAAGGAATTTATCTAATTTGACTGTTTGTTCATTTGTTTTATATAATATTGTCATATGTTGTTTATATATTTGACAGTACTTTATAAACTGTTTTCATCAACTTAATAGCCGGATAGTTTTTACAATTAAGTTAAAGAAATTAAATGAAAACCAAAACAATAATTTATTATTGAATCATCACTGTTGATAATATATAGTTGTTATTGAAATCTGAATTAGCAAATGAGACATACTTCTTGTTTTTGTTTTCTTTTAATTTTGTCTATATTGGGTCAAACAGTTGTTTAATTTTTGATAGTTTGTATATTCAAATTTCACTTTAAAATTACTTCACAATTTAACCTACACATGACAACTTAGTCATTTTCAATTTATTATGTAATATAGAGCTCCCATTGAATTTACCTCCGCCCTCCAGACATTTTTGGCACACCGACTTTCCTAAATCCTTTGGCACACCGTATACCAAGCATCTTTTAAATTTGATTTTTACAACTTTAAAATGGTTTTCACCCGTATAACAGATGCGTTGGCCTTTTAAATGTGTTTTGTGTCGAAAATCAATCTTCCATTTGGTATTTGTAACCTATGAGGTAGGTAATAAGAATCATCCTGAAATACTCCACATCCAAGAGATTGGCACAAACACAAACAAAAGTCGAAGGACTAAATACGGATTCCATGAAATACTTATACAGAAAAAGAGCATCAGAGGAGATCGCTGGGAATGAAATATTAGACAACGATAACATTGGGGAAAACTGGGAAAAACTCAAAAATAACATAATTAATGCAGCAACAGAATCACTTGGAGAGACGAAAGTAACATATCAAAATATAAAACACCATGGTTTAGATAGAAAGTGAAGACAAAATGTGAAGAAAAGAAGAAAGCCTTTTTACAATACAGAACACAACAAACACAACAGGCGTATAACCGCTAGAACCGAATCAGAAATTAAACGAATTGTTTTAAAGGAGTTTATTAGACAAATAAAAAGGGAACACTGGCAGAGCTTCTCAAAACAGATGGAACACGACTTCTACGGAACATAAGAATAAATATGGAGAATGATTAGAGGACAAAGAAAAGAGATGAATCAACTAATAAAAATGAAACACATTCAGAAGGAAACATGGGTAGACTACTTTCGATCCCTATTTGCTAAAGGTGGTAATGAAACTCCAGAAATGACGAAAAACGAACTAATAAATATTAAGAAGGAAGATGCATTCTTCCTGCAGAAAGCAGGAAGCAATATGCAGGAAGATAGAGGAAGCATTAAGGAAATTAAAAAATAGAAAATCACCAGGAGAGTACAGAATACCGAACGAACTACTAAAGTACGGAGGACCAGATCTGAGTCTGACCAAACAACTATTAAAACTGATCCCAAAAATAATTGAACAAAACAGAATTCCTCAGGAATGGAGATCAATCATCCTAATGCCTCTCTTCAAAAAGGGAGACAAATCGGACCCGGAAAATTACAGAGAAATTAATTTATTAAACATTTATTAAAAACACTAAAATTAACAACCATAGTGATAAAATGAATGAAATTATAATCCTAGCAGAAGAACAACAAGGTTTTAGGTCAGGAAGGTCATGCACCGACGCTATATCTATAATGAGGCAAGTGAAATAGAAATCATTAGAATACAATAAACCGGCATATCTATGTTTCGTGGACCTTAAGAAGGGATTTCAAGGAAGGCATTTCAATTAAAATTAAAGGACGTTGTCCACTTATTGTACGCAAGAGAGATACTTCTAGGAATAATTAAAATGATCGAAATTATCTACCAAAACAACACAATAAAAGTTAAAGTAGAAGAAGAACTATAAAATGATACCAAATGGGAGGAAAACAACTTAAAATAATCTGCTATGCAGACGACGCAATACTACTCTCTCAAAGTGAAGATGATGTACAACGTATGCTTCACCAATTTAATATAACATCCAGAAAATTTTAGTACGAATAGCACGAGATAAGTCACCAAATGAACGAAGAAGTATTGGCAGACCAAGAAAAAGATGGTGCGACAATTTAGAAGGCTAATATTGAAGAAGAAACATGCTTTAAAACCTACATAATAGAAGAAGAAGATCCAGAAAATTTAACATGTTAATTTTCCCAAAAAAGACAAAATGTATGGTTACAACAGCAAATTGATTAAAAGATTGAGTTGGAAGGTGGAAGTAAATTGGAGTTGGACAGTCAGAAAATAGAACAAGTGATGGAGTTTAAATATTTAGGCATCACATTATCTAGCTACAGAAAGCTTGAAACTGAAGTGGAAGATCAAGTGAATAGAGCAAAGAGTCGTAGGCTGCCTGCATGAAACAATATGGAGAAATAAAATTATCGGGAAAGAAATGAAAAGCAGAATTTAGAAAACAGTCATCAGACCAACAATGGCATACGAGGCAGAAACACGACCTGACACAGAGAGGACAAAAAGGATGTTAGAAACAGCAAGGATGAAAACACTTACAAAATTGATGGTAAGACACTATCTAACAGATCTATAAGTACAGATATACGACGCAAGATGGAGAACACCAAGAACTGGGTAAAAAATAGAAGAGTAGAATGGAACGATCATAAACGATCGTAAACCGAATGACAACAAACGTCTGTAAAGACGGTTCCCCAATAAGAAGACCACGAAAACGATGGAACGACAGCTTACTGGAGGCACATTGAAAAACAGACAGAGTCATGTCTACATAAAAAGAAGAAGAAGACGTAAGTTTTTAATCATTGTAATTGTAAAAAACAATTTTTTTGGGAACATACACGTGTTGCCAGTTTGACCTGTTTTTTAATTTATAGGTAAATATATGTCACATACAAAATTTTTAGCCTATTTGTGTACTTTGTAAGGGTCTTATTAGAGTTTTCAAAATCCACAACAATGGAGAATTTTTTTATACGTACTTGTATTGTACTTGTACTGGAGTCAAACTGCTATCGTAAAAATTGGAGATAACTACACCGATGAAATTTGCATACAACGAGATGTCAGACAAGGTTGCATTTTGTCGCCAACATTGTTTAATGTTTACTCGGACCAGTCATTTAAAAAGGCACTTGAGAGATAATCATATGGAATAAAAATCAACGGGGAACTACTTAATGTGATTAGATATGCAGACGATACAGTAATTCCGTCAGATAATATTGACGGTCTCCAAATTCTGCTTGATCGTATTCACGAGGTAGGAGAGAAAATGGGCATTAAAATAAACTCAAACAAAACCAAATTTTTAGTGTTTAGTCGTAACCCACATCCCGATGCAAAGCTTCAATTGAACGGAGTCCAAGTTAAGAAAGTTCACAAAATGACATATTTGGGAACTGTGATAACGGACCAACTAGATCCAGACATAGAAATAAAACGTAGAATAGCAATGACTAAAACTACTTTTATGAAAATGAATTCATTTCTTTGCATCTCTTTCCATCTCTTTTTAGAACTAAGGCAAAGAGTGGTTAAGTGCTATGTTTGGTCTGTACTTTTGTATAGTGCAGAAGTGTGGACGCTAAAAGTATCGATTATGAACAAAATTGAAGCTTTGGAAATGGTTGTTCATAGACGAATGCTGAAGATACCTTGGACAGCAAGGACAACTAATGAAGTATTAAGGAGCGTTAACAAAGATAGAGAACTGCTAAAGACTGTTATACATCGAAAAATGTCTTTTCTGGGACATATAGTAAGGGGAAGTCGATATAAAATATTACAACTGATCCTTAAAGGCAAAATAGAGGGCCGTAGAGGTGTAGGAAGAAAACGGGTTTCTTGGTTGAGGAACATTCATGAATGGACTTAGACATCAAATGCAGGACAATTATTCCATATTGCAGAAGATCGAAAAGTCTTGTCAATGGTGATCGCCAACGTCGGATAATTCTGATATGGCACGCGAAGAAGAAGAAGTATTGATATAGTCTTTTTTATCAAAGTCTCAATGTATATTTAAAAAAATTATTATTAACAACAAATACGCCAACTGTTTTATGTTTTATAAAGTTCTTTTAGTGTGCATCTCAGTGTTACCATAAATTTTTTCGTCTTCCATTAAAACAAGATTATTAGAAAAATTTTATTAACTGATTGCCGTAAAATAAATGTCAAATAAACATACAAAAATCGTTTAGAATATTTTCTTGTAAAAGTATCAAACAGGATTTTGCTTCTGTATTATATTTAATCGTTAAAAAAGGACGTATATGTATATTGCTGTTTAGATATTAATCCACACCCCTTTTAGGTATTTCGCCCTCCCTAACGAACCTAGTACGAACATTGCGATGGATGCGAGATCGAACTGTGACATGGTTTTTGTGTAATTTCAGGTCTACGGGTACGAGGCATCTCGACGTGCCTCATAGACGCTCCGGAGAGTTCGCCAGAGTCGTCTGAGGGACCGCCGCCGCCGCCGCCCCAAGGTGATCCGCCGTCGGAGTCGCAGGTGCGTTGCCGTCGATTCAGACCCGTCACATAACCTCACTTTTGTTGTAAAGGGTGCGAGGCACTGGACATAATTTTTTAATTATTTAATTGTGATTCGGGATGGTCCCGGCTTGTTTTATTGAAAAAGTTCTTCAAAAAATAAAAAAAATTAATGAAACAACTAGAGATTATAATTAAAACAACGCAGAACTCGTATAGGTAGTGACACATTCCTTCTAAGTTTTTTAGTTTTAATTTTATTAGTTATTTATTAGTAGTAGCGTTATTTTCTTGTGAGGGTTCAGATCAAAAGTAAAAGCGGAAAATACCATACATGATATAAAATTTTGTACAAATAAGTATCCAAGTTAAATTGCATTGGAATGATAAAAACCTAACCTAAAATTTTGATATTTTATACCGAAAGTTTTTAAAATTTTCTATAAAAGAATTTCATTACGTTAAAATTTAGTATTTTACTCACATAATAGAAGATAGAATAACTGCTGGAATACAGTCGCGTTCCTCTAGTGCCACAGAGAAAACTGACGCAAAGCAGTCGCTGCATCGCTTTCTAATGGGCCGAGTTTATTGACAACGTGACCTTCTCATTGGTCATTTAGGTCCAGTGGTCGATAAACCTGGCAAACTAGAAAGAGATGCAGGGATTGTTTTGCGTCAGTTTTCTCTGTCCCACTGGGGGAACGGACTGGTATGGCAATGATCGGTCTATCTCGTATATGTCTATGATTTTACCTAATCTAACATAACCTTACAATTGAATGAATTTTCGAGTTTATGAGTTAAAATGGTTAGAATCTATTTTTATAACATCATTATTGATATTTTTCATTTTTATTTTGGAAATAATGCATTCAAAAGTAATTAAATTTTCTTTAAATAAAAGACACATTTTAGACGTAGTTATAGTCACTTAAAAATCTTCCAATTTATATAAGAGAATATACAGAATGATCTATTTAAGTTGCATTAAGACTATATTCTCAAAACCTCAAGATATGCAAAAATTAGGTAACATTCTACGAGCTGTGTACAAAGTGAAAACACAATCTAGGATGCCAAATCGCCAATATTTATCTCGATTGAATGTAGGGATATAAGAACTGACAGGGGCCTCTGTAGCAGTTTAAGCAGCTTGTAATGTTTAGAAGAACCCTGGAACGTTTGAGTGCCTCTGGGAGACGTCAAATAAGATGGTTGTTGTTTTGGAATAGTTCATGGATTGGGAGTATTTCATAGCAGTCTGAAGTGTTTCAGAGTTTTAGTCTAACCTGGATGGAGTAGTTGGTGATAGACTCCGGATCTTTTTCTCTGATGGTTTTTGTCTAAAGATTATCCTAAATTGTTTCTATGTATGTGTGAACTCCTCCAGAACTCAGGAGTTCTCATCGTGTCCGGCCTTCGTCAGTCATTTTTAAATGGGTACTTGACATTATATTTAAAAAGTTTCAATTTTTATCTTCAATGATTTTACAACCCCCAGAAGATCTCAACCTTCTGATTCCTGGACTATATTATTATCCACAAGGAAACTAAGTTCCTGTAGCTGGCTGTATACCATGTATCACAAAAAATTTATTAAAACCCTTTTTTAAAAGGTATAATTCAAAAATCCAATCGGGTTATATCACAACAACAAAAGTTTTCCGAATCCATATTCCATCATCAGTGTCTACGTGTACATGTTTTGAGCCACTAAATATTTGGGTAAAAACCCGTTAAAAGTTATTGGTTTAAATTTATTTTACATTATTCGATCGTATATGTTAAGATATTACAGTTATCAGTGGATTTGATAACATGGCAACGTAAGACTGTACATGAGGTTTCTGGTCCTGAGGCAAAATGTCTACCAAGTCCTCGTAGACACTTTGTCTCAAGACAGCCTAGACATATTATTATGCTTTGTGCCTGGGTTTTCCATCCCTGAGTCCAGATAGAAGGATTTTTACAAAACTAAAATTGTAAATTTAGCTGATTTGCCGTATAGGGGATATAACTTAGAAAGAAAATGCTATTGATGAAAATTCTTACAACATTATAGTTATATTACAACCTATAAATAATATTAGGATCTCAATTTTAAATTTTCGTAAACAAGTTACACATCTTTGAACCAGTCTTTGAAAATAAGTGAGATACCAAACGAGATCTATAACCATAGGACATATTTAGGTCATTCTAAAGATGGTACTTATGGCCTAAAAAATAGTACGTGCGTGATTTTGCAACGTACTTCAAAGATAATTATGTCCATCAAGGCCAATAGGTGCAGAGCTCATGATAATATGATCACCAACTATGCTAACAGATGTGATCAACTACTGCAACAGATTAACGTCGATGCGAGCAAACTTAGATATCAACATTAAATTTTATTTAGAAAGTCACAGTACCTTAGGCTTCTTTTCAATGTAGTAGCCTTTGATGTCATGGCATTTATGGTAATGTGAAATCAGGTTTTTAACGCCATTGTTTTAGTTTTGAATACAAGATGAATAAATGAATGCGCAAGGTCTGGGCTGAAAGGAGGGTGGTCGAAAATTTCGTATTGTAGATGTTGAAGTTTTGCCAATGCATATTGTTCTTGTGCTACTTCTATCGGAGCATGGAAATCATAAAGGCTATCCTGACCTCGTTTACAGCTGACCTAAAGAGTTCATTAGTGGTACAGTCAAACCACTCTCTCAAATTACGCAACCATGACATTCTTCTACGGCCGGGATTCCGTTTTCCTTCTATTTTTCCTTGCATTATATTTTAAAGTAATGCGTATTTATATCCTCTCATCAGGTGACCCAAATATTCGAGTTTTCTTCGTTTGATCGTTGACAAAATTTCTGGGTATTTCCTATCCTTCGTATTAATTCAAAGTTTGTGACTCTTTCAACCCAACTTATCTTCAGCATTCGACGGTAGCACCACATCTCGAAACTTTCAGTTATTCTGTTTGAGAGTCCAGGCCTCTACACCGTATAATAGCGTATTAAATACGTATCCCCTTAGCATTCTTAATCGAAGAGGGATGCTTATATCTCTATTTCTGAAGAATTTACTCATATTTATGAAAATGGCCCTGGCAATTTCTTATTGTAGACGTTGAAGTTTTTGCCAATTCATACGGCCGAGCATTGTCGTGAATCAGAAACACGTTCGTCGACAGGCCACGTCGTTTATTCTGTATTGCATGTTTTAGTCTTTGGAGGGTTTAGAAATACGTTGCTGAATTTCTTGTTTCACCCCTAGAAATAAAGTCTACGTGAATTAAACCATTACATTTAAAAACCGAATCACACTGCGTACTTCATATTTGGCGGGATTTTCAATGGAGTCGTGAGGCCATTTCAAAATATTATAGAACAAAGACACGTGCCCATACAATAACGAAACTTGGCTCACACGATGCGACAGACAAAAGTAACTGGTGCACACGAAATTGCGGCGGTGGAGGATGCGCAATCGTTCTTTACTTTCTGGACGACCAACGTATATATATATATATATATATATATATATATATATATATATATATATATATATAATTTAAAACTTTTTCGACATTGTTTCATGTTTAAAACGCCATCTCTAGACACATCCATACCACCTCAGCCGTTCCTTCTCGATATCTTGAATTATATTTCCTTCTATATCCATACGTTGCTTTATTCCTTTATTTTTGATTCGTTCTTGTACGGAAATACATAAAGATCTTCTAGTTGCATCTATATCTACTGTTTCTAACAGTTTCTTGTTTTTTTTTTCACAAATTCTCCATGTTTCAGCGCCATAAAGGATTTTCTGCTGTTTATTATATCGTTAGTCTCACATTGAAACATTCCAAGACCTTTTTTGCTTGTGTGATTCGTTTATTTCTCATGAATCGGTACCGGTATTGTCAAAGGTAACACCTAAGTAGTGATAGCTCCGACAGCGCAGCGGGAAATATTTTGTCCATTTTCAAGGTCTTGGTTCTGTGACTCCTTTCCAATACAGAGATAAATCATTTTTAAACTTTAACGAATGTATGGAGAGACTGGAAACTTTTTGACTGTACAGAGCTGTAACTAACTGATTGCGGATACGCTACTGAATGAATGTTGACCTTTCCATCGGTTAGTTGATCGCAGGAGTACGCTGTTACTGAACCTTTGCATAATACGAGTTTGATGACGTTTAACTCACTATGTTTAGAAGAATATGAGGTTTATTGCTGTTCTAAGAGATCATTTTGTAATTATGGCTTCTTCTGAACCTTATACCATGCTTAGCTTGTACATGTACGAATAACTAAACAACAATATATCTCTAGCAAGTGCGTTAAAGTAAAAAGCTTAGAAGGAGGTGCCTCCTTTTTGAATCTCACTAAGCATTACTATAGTTTAAGGTAGTAATGATTCGATAAGACAACAAACGTCTTGTTTGACAAGATTTTTGAGGAATAATGTGAAAATGTGATTTTTCTCTATAAAGTTTAGTCACGCTGTTTTCAAGCGGTGGTGCAACACTTATAATTGTTTTTGTTTTTCGTTTACCATTAGTTTTTGTTTTAAAACCGTTGTTGACTCGACAAACATGTTTATAAATTGGCGAGAATGATACACCAGGGTAGGATTAGACGAAATTTTAAATTAGTAAAAATAGGAATTTTTAGGTAGAAATTAAAGGTATTAAAGAAAATAAATTAGATTTTTTAACAATCATCATATAGTACTTTTTCATTTAATGCGTCTATTGAAGGGGGGAGATTTTAATAATAAACGATGCCATCAAAATAAAAATAAACTTCCATTATCGCTGAAGACGATTGTATTTTTTGTGTTTTCAACAAGCCTACTTGTTCTTTTCCACCATTCATTTAGTTAACATTTTTCTTTCTACGTGTACATTACGCATCAGTTCTAGACTCAGTTATACTTTGTAAGCATGAAGATACAAATATTGCATTCATACAATGATTACAGATCGTTTGGAAAAGTTCATTTCTCGATCAAGGTGCTGAATTGATATCTTTATGCTGTCTTACGAACTGTTTGGATTGAAAGTATTACATATTTTGTACTAGATGTTTTTATTGAAGGACTTGTTGACGATTGGCAAAAAAGACAAAACGTGAATACTAAATTCTATGAAATATTCAATATACTGGCAGAGGAATGAACATGTTATTTAGCCACTGTTAAACCTGGTAGTCATGATATTAAATTATGTGTTTGAAATTATTCAAAGATCGGTGTTGATTATCTCGTTTTACATTTATTTGTTATATGTACTACTATACTTGACTAAAATGGTTGGAGATTTTTGTTCCCTAATTCTTTTGACTGTTTTCGGTGATATTTTAATTGCGTAATTAAATATTTATCAAAAAAATTTAGACGCATGTTATTTACTTTTGAACTGCCTAGTGGTACTGCGTGATGCTTTACATAATCAATGTTAGGTCTTGTTTGTATAACCTTAAATGATAAAAAAGATTAAGGCTTTAGTTCGTAATGCACACGGCACTAATGTTTTTGGTACCAGAAAAATAAATGAAGCGATAATTTCATTCGGTAAAACAAT